CTTAAAAGTTAGTTGGTTTCTTACTTGTGTTGGAGTTTCTTGATAGGGTACGTCCTCACCACCGTTGATAGGCTCTTGAAACTGTTGTTCAATGGAATGAGGTACAGTGACTGCTTTTGTTCAGTGACCCGCTACAGCAGAGCAGTGTTGCTCAGGGACCTGCTGTATTCTGGATACAAGATTTTTATACTTGATATATATACTTTATCAGTATTTTCTCAGTCTGTGGCTTTGATTTTTCTGTTCCTTTCTCTCCCGAAGCAGAATTTCTTAATTTTCATGAAATCCAATGTATCCATTTGATTTTTTTTGGATGACGCATTTGGTATTTTTTTTTCTTTAATGGGGCTGAGCTTTGCTTGTAAATAAAAACCTTATGTGAATATGCTATTGGAGTCTCATGAGTTCTTTTAAGTGTCCACTTTTTTTTTAAAGATTTATTTATTAAAAAAAATGAAGATTTATTTATTTATGCACACAAGAACCGGGGTACAGGCAGAGGTGGGGGGGGAAGAGGAACTACCAGAGACAGAGCGGGGAACAGAACAGGCAGACTGGCCAAAATCCACTGCTGAGGGGAGCAGCGGGGAGACAGGAGAGGTCTGCTGCGCCATGTGGGTCAGCAACCTGGCCGGGGGTTGAACGCGTACTGCAGAGGCTGCGGACAGCTTCATAGGTTGTGTCGTCACCCTTTGCACCACCAGGGAGGCCCTAAGTGTCCACTCTTATGATGCTTTTGTTTTACTACAGATAAGAGCAGTGTACGTGCAAAGGCTTACATGTACGTATCCCCTTCTCTTCTGAGACAGCCTGGGAAGCAGTGGCAGCCCAGTAGCCCTCAGCATGTTTATACCCCATAGTTACCGGCTTGTAAAATGCAACTTTCAATAAAAAGAACAAGAACATCTTAGAACTTCTTAGGCTATTTGCAAGCTGGGGCAGGAAAGGTACATGAGCCTAAGGGATATTCTTGCATTAGAAAGAAAAAAATTAAGTTAAAAGGAAAAATACGGAATAATGTTGATTCATTGGCTTCCTGTCGCTGTGTTAACAAATGCCCAGAAACCTACAACTTAACAAAATTTATTCTGTGATAGTTCGTTAGGTGGTAAGTCCCACATGGGTCTTAGGGTGCTGTCAAGGTGTGGGAAGGGTTTGTTCTTTTCTGGTGACTCAGGGAAATTGTTTCCTCCTTATTCGACTTGGTGGTGGATTTTAGTTCCTTATGCTTGTAGGACCGAGATTCCACCTGGCACTCACCTGGGTCATCCTCAGACAAGAACTTTTACAGGAGATTTAAAAACAATACCAGTTGCACAGTCTCCAAGGCAAGATTCTAATAATACTTGACAAGCAATCACGTGAACCCAGTGCCTAACATGATCCCCAAAATGGTTAATGATATGGAAGGATATTACAGAACAGCAACCACATGAGTGTAGGAAACCAGAGCAGACTCTTGGACGGGCGCCCGTTGGCAGTTTGCTGGTGGAGCTGAGGCCCGCACGCTACCTGCCCGTGGCCGCCGCACAGAAACTGATACAGCAAGATGTGAAACAAAAAAGGGCCTGACAACTTCCTCCAGTGTATCAAACCTGAGATGAAACGAAGAATCACAGATTCTGACATCACTCACCTGAAAACAGACCTCGACAAATGCCTGTGTGCATGACCTGTTCACAACATTTTCAACCACCAGAGTGAAAGTTCAGCGCCTCTCCATGCTCTCCTCAAGCTTCCCTGTATGCAGCTCAGAACAGGCTGCAGCTCCAGAGGTGAGCAGTATTTTCAGCCTATGTTTGTGTCTGGTATCAAGTCTTCATCTTTCTGTCCCTCAGCCCGGCCACCTTCACCAGCGACTGAAAACACTGGCTCTGGACATGTCCCTTTCTACAAACTAGACCTCAGTCATGGCACTCAGTGTTTCTACACCGGCCACCATGGTTGGCCCTAACACACAACTGCTGCTCTTCAGACTACAGCGGAAGAGTTATGTGGCTCCTTGCACACACACGCAATGCCAAGTCATTTCCAAACACAACAGGCCCTTGGCTACATCCCATCACCACCAAGCTCAGAGCCTAAAGTTCAGACAATCAGAGATGTTCCAGGATTTACCCTATTCTGCTACGGTCATCATCCAATTTATAATCCAAAGCCACCTGGCACCTTGCTAGTGAGTTTGCAGAACATCCAACCTGTTAGCTACAATGGAAAGGCCACTTGAATTTAGGGAAAATGACATGCCCACCTCTGTGGTTACTTTGGCTGCACAACCATGTATACAATGTCTTATTGGAAAGCTCACCTGAGAGCTCTCCTGCCCACCTGTGACTATGCAGCTGCCTCTTCCTTTTCTTTCTGCTTTTACTAATAAAATTTTATTTACTAATAAAATTGTCTCTCTCTTTTTTTTTTTTTTAAGATTTATTTATTTATACAAGAGTTGGGGTATAGGCCAGAGGTATGGGAGCGTGAGAGACTTCACCAGAGAGAGCGGGGGAGCAAAACAGGCAGATGGACCTAAGACACTGCTGAGGGGAGCAGCGGGCGAAGGCAGGAGAGGTCTGCCATGCCATGTGGGTTTCTCCCTGGCTGGCCGGGAATCAAACCCATGCTGCAGAGGCTGCGGACAGCTTCACAGCGCTGCACTCAACCAGCTGGGCCACTGGGGAGGCCCGATAAAATTGTCTTGTTAAAATGGGGGAAAAAAACTCACCTGAGGACTCATACTGGTGAAAAGCCCTCACACAGATGCTCTCAGGAAGGCTGGAAGTCCACGTCTGGGGGCGGGCTGACCCCACAGTGCAGAAAACACACCAACACCAAGCCCTCACAGGGCAGGGTGTGCAGGAGCCCACCTACAGATGGTGAAGAGGCACCCCAACTGAGATCCTCTGTGGGCCTATGCAATTCGTGCTGATCGTTCTCTCGGCAAATTTTAAACAAGAAACTGCAACTCCGTGTATTTTATTTTTTAAAAAGATTTATGCATACAAGAACTGGGGTACAAGCCAGAGGTGCAGAGTGTGGACATGGGGTTGAGAGGATTCACCAGAGACAGAGTGGGGAGCAGAACAGGCAGACTGACTTCAATCCACTGCTGAGGGGAGCAGTGGGGAGACAGGAGGGGTCTGCTGCGCCATTTGGGTAGCTCCCTGGCCGGGGAGGGAACTCGTGCTGCAGAGGCTGCGGACAGCTTCTTAGCGCGGGGCTTAACCCCTTGAGCCACCAGGGAGGGCGCTTTTTCTGTCTTTGCACCTGCTTCTGTGGCCGCGCGCAGCGTGCTTAGAACTACATTACCCAGAACCCAGCGCGCCCAGCGTCGGCGGCACTGACCAATCACGTCCCTGGAGAGGAGCGTCTCCCGTGGGGCGTCGCGTCGGGTGGGCCCCGCGCCGACTGCTCTGCGGCGGCCATCTTGGCCGCGCTGGGATCGCCCGCCCGCCCGCAGAGGCCGCGGCCGCCGGGGGCTGAGGGGCCGGCGCCGGCGCCGGCGGGAGCGCGTCGGGGCTCGGAGCGGCGCACCCTGCATGGAGCCGGCCGCGCGGACGGCGCCGGCGGGCGTGAGTGTCGTTCCCGGAAGCCGCGGGCGCGCGGCGGGGGCGCTGGGAGTGTGGGGGGAAGGGGCTGCCCTGAGGCGGGAAGGCGGCCCCGGCCCGCGTCCCCACGAGGCGGAGACGTCGGGTCTATTTAAAGGGCAGGCTTTGTGGGGGTCTGTTTCAAAGATCGATTTATTTACACAAGCACTGGGGGCAGTCAGGGCGCGGGAGGGCGCGAGGACCCCCCAGAGCCGGAGCGGGGGCCGAGCGGGCAGGAGGACCGAGGACGCTGCTGGGGGAGCCGCGGGCGGCGGGAGAGGTCCGCGCGCCGTGGGGGACCCTCGCCGGCGGCCGGGATCGAACCGGCGCTGCCGAGGCCGCGGGCAGCTTCAGAGCGCGGCGCTCAACCGCTGCGCCCCCGGGGAGGCCCTCGGGTCTCAGAAACTCGCCGACAAGGAAAGGAAACCGGGGGGCGTGGGAGTGGGGGCGCCCCCGTCCAGCCCCACCCCTCGTCGGCGCCGCCCTCCCGGGGGCCGCGCGGCCCGTGTCTCTTCTAAGTCGGCGACGCGGGCGCCTTCCTGCTCGCTCGGCCGGCACCTTCGGGCCGAGTTCTTAGATCGGGCACGGGAAAGGCGCGGTCGGGGTGAGCTCAGGCGGTGGCTCCCCCTCGCCGGGCCCTGCTGTCCCGGCAGCGCGGGGACTCCTGGCGGGGCTGGGCGGGGAGAGGCCGTCCGCGGGTGCTGACGGGCGGGGTGTGTCCTCTCCGGGGGCCTGTTTGCGGGGTTCTGGGGGCTGCCGCGCGGGCGACGCCAGAGGGTCTTCCCCGGGGCTGCTCGGCTGGGGCCCCTGGGCTGACAGAACAGGGCGGTGCTGGCAGCCGGGGAGCATCTGGGTGAGGCAGAGGTCGGGGGGCACGTCTCTCCCCTGTGCTGCGGCCGCAGCCCCTGGCGGGAGTCCAAGGAGTCCAGGAAAGGTGGGATACTTCCCGGGGTGCCGGGGGTGCCTGCTCTGGTCCTCATTTGGCTGGTGGAGGGCGCAGGCGAGGCTTCTCGAGTGGGGGTGCAGGGAGGATGAGGTGCTGTGTTTGGCCTGCAGTGTGGGGAGGAGGTGCAGGGCCCAAAGCAGTGCCGGGGCCACCTCTTGGGGGGAGCCGCTGGAGGCCGCAGTGCCGTCGGGTCGCCCTGGGCGAGGCGGGCCAGTGCCCTGTGCTGCCAGCAGAGACGCCGGAGCGGTGGTCAGCGTGGCGGGGGACGGGGAGCAGGCGGGGCAGCCCCGGGTCATCCCCAGCACTGAGCGGGGTCTGTGTGCGTGTCGTGATGGGGGGGCCCTGTGTGTCAGGTCCGGGGCCTTGGGGACGCTGCCCCTCCCCGCAGGTTTCCGCTGATCTGGAGACGGGGAGCCGCAGCCCCAGGGTCCTGGGCAGAGGCCGCGTCTGAGCCCGTGTGCCCCCTGCGACAGGGCCGGATGACCTTCGAGGACGTGGCCGTGTACTTCTCCCAGGAGGAGTGGGGGCTCCTCGGGGAGGCCCAGAGGCACCTGCACCGTGAGGTGATGCTGGACAATCTGCTGCTGCTGCTGTCGCTGGGTAAGGGCTCCCGCCGCGGGCCTGCGCTCTGAGGGTCCCCCCTTCTCTTCCCCCGTCTCTGAGCGAGGCCACAGGGCGTGTCGGGCCGGGGCTTTGTGCGACCCCCAACACCTGCGGCGCAGGTGCTCACCCGGGTTGGGTTTGGCTCCCGTCCCGCAGCCTGTCTGACCAGCGCCCTCGGCTGCCCTCCCTGGTGCCAGGGTGCGTGTCGCAGCTTCTGCCTTCAGCAGGCATTTGTGGGAGCCGTGCCGTGGCCCCTGCCAGGGTAGATGACCCCAGGGGTGAAGGGCTGCCTGGGCCTGGTGAGGGGGAGCTGTGGGAGGGGAGCTCGGGTCTGGGGGCGGGTCACACCGTGAACCATCCTGTGCTCCGCGCCAGCTTCCTGCCAAGGCCCCGGGCCAGCCGCTCTGCCCGTCCTGGACGTTTCCCTGCGGGCACCTGCGCCGGAACTTCGCCCGCCTCTCTGTTCCCCACAGCGCCCCGTCTCTCCGCAGCGTTCCCCTCCTGAGATGCACCCATGTCCTCCGAGAGCCCTGGCCCCCGGCTGGCCCGCGGGACCGCCCGCTCCCACCTGGCTCCCGCAGACGAGGTCCCGTTGGACTCTCCTCCAGGCACAGCGCCATCTCCTGTTTCGCTGCTGCTTGACCCCGCCCTTGTTCCGTGACCCCTGGAGACCCCGCGCTGTGGCCAGTCTCCCCTTCTCCCCCCGGCCGGACCGCCCTCGCCCTGAAACCCGTTCCTGGGAATGTCACACCCGCTGGCCCGGCTGTCCTGCCACCGCCGCCCCCGGAGCCTGTGCACTGCCTCAGCGTTGTTGTGCTTTCAGGTGGTTGTTACAGAGAAGCAGACGAGCCCCCTCCCGGAGACCCAGAAGACAGAGCGCCGCAGCCCAGCGCCGCGCGGCCTGATCCGTCCTTCCCGAAGACGCCTTCCTGGGAAGAGTGTGTCACGGCGGCAAAAGGCCCTCTGTGGTGCCTGTCTGAGCACCAGGGAACGCACGCTGGGCCGGAACCGTGCCTTCGCGGGGCCTGTGGGAAGCTGCTTTCTCTCGGTCCGCACCTGCACCGGCACCAGAAGCAGCACGGTGGCGAGAAACGTGCCAGAGCGGAGAGCAGGGCCCTGCCTGTGAGGAGCTGCGAGAACCACGTGTCAGACGGGATGTCCACCTGCGCAGAGCGGGCAGGGTGCAGCCCGGAGCTCGTCCAGCGCCAGGCAGCCCGCGGCGGAGCGCGTCCCCAGAGGTGCAGGGAGAACAGGGAGGCCTCTCAGGCTCTGCAGAGGCCTCCCGAGGGTAGCAGGCGTGGGCAGGCCTTTGGCATGAAGCGTCAATTAACGAAGCGTCAGGGAGTTCACGCTGGAGACAAACGTTACGAGTGTAAGGAATGCGGGAAGTTTTTTAGACACAACTCCAGTCTCTCTCACCACCGAAAGGTTCACGACGGAAAAAGGCCGTACGAGTGCAGCGAATGTGGGAAGTCCTTCGTCTATAAAAGAGTGTTTCTGGAGCACCACAGGATCCACACTGGAGAAAAGCCTCATAAATGTAGCGAGTGCGGGAAGTTCTTCCGGCAGAGATCCACCCTCAGGGAACACCAGAGACGCCACGGTGGGGAGAGGCTTTATAAGTGCAGCGCATGCGAGAAGTCCTTCCCCCACAAGGGGAGACTCCGCGAACACAAGAGCATCCACACTGGAGAAAGGCTTTATGAGTGTGGCGAGTGTGGCAAACGCTTCAGACAGAGGTCCACTCTCAGTACACACAGGAAGCTTCACGGTGGAGAAGGGTCTCCCAAGGGCCGTGAATGTGGGAGATCCTTCCTCACCTCCCACTACCTTGATCACCAGCGAGTTCACGCTGGAGAAAAGCCTCGTCAGTGCAGCACAGGCGGGAAGCGCTTGAACAGAAGGTTTCACTGCATTGAGCACGAACAGGGTTTGCACTCAGGAAAAGCCTTGTGGGTGTAGTGAACGTGGAAAATTCTTTAAACACGTTGTAAGCTGCTTGTACCGCCAGTGAGTTCGCACCGAGGCCTTGTGAGTACAGTGCCTGTCGGAAACCCTCGGCCTTCCGGAGAACCCTGGATGCCAGAGAATCCACTCTGGAGAAGAGCCCGCGATGCAACAAATGGGGGACAGCCTTCAGTGGTGGGTGTTTGTCAGGCCTCAGAAATTGTGCCAGAAGGTCTTCACGGCACGTCCTGTCGCTGTGTTCAGAATAAGTCTCCACAGGGTGGACTTTCCAGTGGCTCCATCAAGCAGAAGGAGAGCCCCGTACAGCTGCAGAATGCCAGTGGGGTCACTCAGTGCCAACTCCGGTACTTGGGAACTTGGGGGTGGCTGCGTGAGACCCTCCGGCACCAGGGGACTGTCGTAGAGGTGATCTCAGCTCCCTGTGGCAGTTCCCCATCATGGTGGTTACTCTCCAGAGGTACTCATCTCTGTTCTCTAAAACCTTGAGGGAATTTTGAGGAAGTTTATTGGAGGAGATCCCTTTTCATCCTGCCCGACACAGACTAGACCCAGTTTTGGCTCAGAGGATTCGTCTGGGGTCTCCTAGTAAATTGCAGGAGCTTGTTTTTGTTTTTTTGTTTTTCTTTTTAAGATTTATTTATTTATGATAATGAGAACTGGGGTATAGGCCAGCAGAAGCTTGTTTTTATGGATACTGTTTTTTATGGGATTATTGTGGATTCACTTTTATTCCATGTTATAGGGAAACTGTCTGCCTCGTCATAAGCTGATCTATGTACTAATAAACATCTCATGTTTCAAGACACCTTTTTTTCCCAAAGAGTTATTTATTTATATACACAAGAACTGGGGTACAGTCAGGAGGTGCGGAGGGTTGAGAGGATTCACCAGAGATAAAGTGGGGAGCAGCACAGGCAGACCCACTGAAATCCACTGCTGACGGGAGCAGCAGGGAGACAGGAGAGGTCTGCTGCGCCATGTGGGTAGCTCCCTGCCCGGCTGGCAATTGAACTTGTGCTTCAGAGGCTGCAGACAGCTTCACAGTGCTGTGCTCAACACCTTGCGCCACCAGGGAGGCCCTGCTTCAAGACTTTAAATCTGAGTTTTCCTTTCTTCAGCCAACTGCTTGTAGAGAACTTTGCATGAGGTAGTAGAGCAGATTAGGGGAGAGGTGTGCAGCAGCTGTGGGGACTAGGAACAGTTGGACCACATCATGTAACAGTGTGTCTGGGTGGCTCGTTTGGCCTGGTTCTGTATGAACTGTTTGCACTGGGTGGCGGCCTGGTGCTGTCCAAGGCCAAGAGTGTAGCTTGGTGGGTTAGACCACATCCATTTTGTAATGGCCGCTCTGGTCACATGGAAATTTGATGGCGGGTGGTTAAATACTCGCTCTACTAAGCTCCAGCAGCAAATAAAAAGCCTTTTTTTTTTTTTTAAGTATTCATGCGTTCAAGAACTGGGGTACAGGCCAGAGGTGTGGGAGGGTGAAAGGATTCATCAGAGACAGAGCGGGGAGTAGAATGGGCAGACTGAAACACACCGCTGAGGGGAGCAGCGGGGAGACAGGAGAGGTCTGCTGCGCCCTGGCCGGGATTGAACTCATGCTGCAGTGGCTTCAGATAGCTGCATAGTGCTGAGACTTCAACCCCTTGCGCCACCAGGGAGGCCCCTTACCTTACTTTTTGGCACTGTCTAGGTGTGGATGTGGAGGCCTGAAGAGAAGCAGCAGGGTCTGACAGGCAGCTAAGTGGAGGTCAGAGGTCACGCGATTTCCCCAGGCGAAGAGGTGCTTAGCTCAGCTCGGGAGGAAATGACTCCGGGTAAAGCATGTGAGCGGGGATTCAGCGATGCAGTGTCCCCATCCCGGGGCTCAGGGTTCCGTTCCTTCTCAATCACCGCCTGCACCTCAGCAGCTGGGAGTTGTCCAGGTTTGGGGCTGGATTGTCATTGTCCCCTCAAGACGAGGCTTGAGGTTGGGTCACGGTCTCAGATCTGAAACTAAGACAAACTATTTTGAGAGTATTCGTGACGTGACTTTGCGTCCCCAAGCTCATCCTTTTTTCTTCCACGTTCTGCCCGTCACCCATAGGAGGCACCACTAACATCACTGTGTGTTTGGAAAAAAATGTTCTCAGGTGCCAAGTGTGCAGTTGTGTGTGTCTCCTGCCACATCGTGTTGTGGGCTTCAGTGCTTTACTCCTGGGAAGAGACTCATCAGTGACTTTCATCAGATTAGAGAACCAATTCCAGAAATTTCAGATTCTCTACCGTGATCTTTTTTTTTTTTTAAAGATTTATGTATTTATGCATATACGAACTGGGGTCTAGGCCAGAGGTGGGGGGTGGTGAGAGGATTCACTAGAGACAGAGTGGGGAGCAGAACAGGCAGATCTGAAATCCACTGCTGAGGGGAGCAGCAGGAAGACAGGAGAGGTCTGCTGCGCCATGTGGGTAGCTCCTTGGCTGGGGGATTGAACTTCTGCTGTAGAGGCTGACAATAGCTTCATAGTGCTGAGACTTAATCCTTGCGCCACCAGGGAGGTCCCTTTTTTTACATTTTGAAAGGGCAGGTTTTTTTTTTTTTTTTTTTTTTTTTTTTTTTAAATTTTTTTTTTTTTTAATAGAGGCATGTTTTATTTATTTATTTATTTGTTTGTTCATTTGTTTTGTTTATACATGCACTGGGTACAGTCAGAAGCGCGGGAGGGTGAGAGAATTCACCAGAGCCAGAGCGGGGAGCAGAACAGGCAGAAGGACCGAAGTACACTGCTGAGGGGAGCAGCGGGTGGCAGGAGAGGTCTGCGCACCATATGGGACCCTCCTCCGGTGGCCGGGGAGCAGCCGGGAATCGAACCGGCGCCGCAGAGGCTGCGGGCAGCTTCGCAACCCAGCGCTCTACCGCTGCGCCACCGGGGAGGCCCAGGTTTTTTTTTTTTTTTAAGATTTATTTTTAATTTGTACAAGAGCTGGGGTATGGGCCAGAGTCACAGGAGGGTGAGAGGACTCACCAGAGACAGCGGGGAGCAGAACAGACAGGCGGGCCAAAATACACTGCTGAGGGGAGCAGTAGGCGAGACAGGAGAGGTCTGCTGCGCCAGGTGGGTATCTTGCCGGCCGGGTGGGAATCGAACCGGCGCTGCAGAGGCTGCGGACAGCTTCACAGCGCTGTGCTCAACCTGCTGCGCCAGTGGGGAGGCCCTCCATCATCCATCTTACTAATATCCAGGTAGCAGGAAATATGGGGGGGGGGGTGGTCAAGCATGGTCAACACCTCAGCCAACATCCACTTAAAAACAACCAGGTAGTATTAGCAGTCATTTTATTCATGAAGATATGCAAGTTAGAAACGTGAAAAAATGTTGAACATCAGATGTAACATTAGCGATTAAAGTCACATTACATCTAATTCAGACAGCTAAAATTTAAAAGTCTGAAGATACTAAGTTTTGGCAGAATGTGGAAGAACATATACCATTGGTAGGACAGAAATCCCTGGTACAACCCATTCAATGACATTTTGCAATTCAAATACTGAGATGTTTACATACTGTGAAGTACTGGCACGAAAGAAATTAAACGTTTGGGCCTCCCAGGTGGCGCAGCGGTGGAGCGCTGGGCTGCGAAGCTGCCCACAGCCTCTGCAGCGCCGGTTCGATCCCCGGCTGCTCCCCTCAGCAGTGTCCTTCGGTCCTTCTGCCTGCTCTGCTCCCCACTCTGGCTCTGGTGAATTCTCTCACCCTCCCACGCTTCTGACTGTACCCAGTGCTTGTATAAATAAATAAATCTTTTTAAAAAAAAGGAAAAGAAAAGAAATTAAATGTTTTTCTATTTAAAAACACGTGCCGACACTCACTGCAGCTTGCTTTCTAACAGCCCCAAACTAGAAACCACCAGGTGCCCAAGGGCAGATGAACAGGCAAATGGTTATGTCTGTGAAAACAATGGACTGTGAATATAAGCAACCATTGGTGAGCCTCAAATGAATGATGTGGTGTGAGAAACATCAGAAAGAAGAGTGAACGCAGATTTGATTCGTGTTGGCGTTCTAGACAGTGTGAGTCAACTGGCTGTTAAAGAAGGTGAATAACGGTTCCCGCAGGCCCGAGAACAAGGAGAGGTGGTGAAAGGGCACAAGCTCAATCAGGGAGAGTCACTGTTGTGATCGTGATGGTTTATCTCCATGGCGACCCTTTTCCGCTGTATACCCCAACCTCCGCGTAGGTTACTGCGCATCAATAACCCTTCTCTGCACAGGCCCTTAGAGAGTTAAAACCAGAAACCTGGGTCTCGCCCTTCGCGGTCAGGTCTAACAACCCAGTGTCCACGGCACTCGACCTTACCCCTGGGAAGGGCCGCTCTGCCTCCACGCACGACTGCTGGGGGGAAATGAAGCCAGTTCCATTGGGTCCTGAGAGCTCCGTCCTCTGTTCTCGCTTCCCTGCCTCTACAGGAATGGACTTGAGGTGAACAACTCGGAAAGATGATGGAAATCCACAAAACCGTTAGGTTGTTTGCTCTGACAGTGACTTCAGCTGCAGCACGTGCACAGCCTGGAGGACCTGTGATTCCTGGACCTCCAGATCATCCGGTCATCAGCACTGGATGCTTTCCAGATACACTTTCAGAAGAGGTTCACCTCATCTAACTGGATGCAGCCTCTTCCCCACTGCCTGAGAATCACACACAGGATTGCAGTTCCCACTAGGGTTGACACCGGCTCCCACGGTCTGAGATGTGCAGCCAGTGTGAAAAAACAATTATGAATGTCAGGACATTTGCCTCCTTTGTAGGGCCTGGTGAAAAGCTTCCCCTCAGCAGTGCTGGGCATGATGGGAGATGCTCTGGGAACAAGACAACAGAGTCACTCCACCCCCCCAAGGGCACCGGAGCTTGCCAAGCCAGATGTCCCCACCTCAAGGTGCCCTATGGTCTCAGTCTACGGAGGAAGGCACCCAGGGCACAAATGAGGAACACAGGGCATGGCGCTGGCTCTGAGACGCTCGTGGGCAGCAAGGCAGATCAGGCCCCCACAGGAATGAGAACCATTCTCTGCTGTTACCCCCACTGCCCACAGGCGGTCATCCCTTCACACAATCTGACTGTTTTTCACCCACCCAGAACAGTGAAAATAACCTCCACAACTGCAGGTAGATTAAACAGTAACGCCTTTATTACTGTACACACAGGAGCGACGGGAGGCAGTTACCTGGGGTGATTTGGAGACAGTAAGTATCAACTACAAATGTCATGCAAAAACCAACAACTTCCACGAGGAAGGGAAGACCTCCCCTACAAGCCTCCCACGGAGCCCACTCTTGGTCAGATCCCCACTTCAAAATTTCAAAAAGAGAAACTGCTGAAGGGAACAGACAACGCAAAAACTTCCTCCAGGGAAGGGAGAGGACAGCTGCCGTGTCCTGGCGATGGACACCGCAAGACGGTAGAGGTGCGACACTTGCATCACAGACTGGCAAGATTAGCACTGCCCAAGGTCCTGGGCAAGTTTAGAAGAGCGGCATAGCTCCTGCAGGCCTTACACAGGCCTGGAGCTCATGGGAGTCCCACCTCTTGCAATGTTTGGAAGTATGAGCTTTCACCTCAGAGATGGCTCCCTCCCAAAACTGTCTGACGCCATGATCGTGAACGAGGGGACAGCACATTTCCTTCATCTCTGAGGCCTTTGCCAAGTGCTAAATATTAGATGTTGGGGTGAAAGATTTCCCGTATCTCCTCCGTTCGTGGGACCTCTCCCTGGTGTGGAATTTCCTGTGGAGATTGAGGCTAGAGCGTTGGCTAAAGGATTTGCCACATTTGCTGCACTCATAAGGCTTCTCTCCAGTGTGGACTACCTGGTGTTGAGTGAGAACAGACTTTTGCCTGAAGGATTTCCCACACTGGCCGCACTCGTAAGGCCGCGCCCCGGTGTGGATGCTGCAGTGCTGAATAAGGCTGGTGCTTCGACTGAAAGCCTTCCCACATTCGCCACACTTGTAAGGTCTTTCTCCAGTGTGAATTCTTTGGTGTTTGGTGAAGATGGCTCTTCTGCTGAAGGATTTCCCACACTGGCCACACTCAAAAGGCCGTGTTCTACTGTGGATTCGCTGGTGTTCGATGAGGCTGTAGCTTTGTCTAAAAGATTTCCCACATTCAGTGCACTCATACGGTCTTTCTCCAGTGTGACTTCTTTTGTGCCGCTCGAGTTTGGATTTGGACCCAAAGGCTTTCCCACAGTCCCCGCACTCATAAAACCTTTCACTGATGTGAACTCTCTGGTGTCTAATGAGAGTGGCTCTTTGGCTAAAGGACTTCCCGCACTGGACACACACATAAGGCCTCACTGTGGTGTGAATTCTCCGGTGTTGAACGAGGGTGAAGCTTTGTCTAAAGAATTTCCCACACTCGCTGCACTCATAAGGCTTTTCTCCTGTGTGAGTTCTGTGGTGCCGAACGAGATTGGATTTGCATCCAAAGGCTTTTCCACACTCCTCACACTCATATGGCCTTTCTCCACTGTGGATTCTGCAGTGTTCAATTAGATTGGAGCACTGACTGAAGGATTTCCCACATTCGCCACACTTATAAGGTCTTTCTCCAGTGTGAACTCTCTGGTGTATAATGAGAGTGGCTTTTTGCCTGAAAGATTTCCCACATTCACTGCACTCGTAAGGCCTTTCTCTGGGGTGGGATCTTTGGAGCTGAGCAAGTGAGTACTTACAGCGGAAGGCTTTCCCATACCTGCTAGATTCAAAGACCTTTTTTCTAGTGGATACTCTTGGGTGGTAAACAAGACTGTGTTTGTGGCTGGAAGGTTTCCCACAGTCACGCAACTTGTAATGACTTCTCCCACCATGAAAGGCCTCCCCACAGTCAGGGGTTCCGGTTGTCTTCTCAGCTTTGGGAATGCCCTGCTGGTGCTGTTGAAAGCCGAAGGTGGCTGAAAAGTCCTTTTCACCGTTTCTACAGGTGAAGGGATTCCCTGACACATGGAATATGCAGCTCTTCACAAACGATGGCTCATCCATATTCCTCTTCGAGAGTCTCTCTGTGCTATAATGCTTCTGGAGCTGGTGGAGGCTTGCATGTGCCCCGACTAAGTCCTGTTTCTGGCCAGGTAGATCAACCAAGTGTAAGATGTCTTTCAGGATTGGGACACACAAATCACAGGGGTAACTTTTCCTGGTGGAAGGACCTGCCTTCAGTGTCCTGACCTGTGACAAAGCTTCCACAGAAACACTGCTTTCAGAAGGTGCCTCTTCATCCTCTGATCCATGCCAGCAAACTGAAAGAAGAGAAATACTGATGAAATGATGTTATGGGAGAGTATTAATAATGTCCTTTTAACTTGCTGTGTATGTTTTAATATCATAAAACCTTGATGGGCAGGAAGATAACAGACTTGAACAACACTGTAGACCAAATGGACCAAACGTGTGTGTGTGTGTGTGTGTGTGTGTATTCATTCCATGGAACAGCCGAGAATATAATTTTTTTTCTCAAGTGCATGGAATATTCCCCAGGACACATATGACTGGCTACAACACAAGTTCTTGACACATTTAAGAAAAATGATACTATCATATATCTCTGTCACCAAAATGAAAATAGGAAAATTCATCAGTATGTGGAAATTAACTGACAACCAATGAGTCAAAGAAGAAATCAAAAGGGAAATCAAAGAATATATTGAGGTAAAAGAAAATGGAACCAAATCTTACGGGATGTAACAAAAGCAATTCTAAGAAAGGTTAAAGTAGAAAATAAATGCCCTCACTACATACATCAAGGAATACTAGCAATGAGAGAAGTGAGATTATAGCTGATATCACAGAAAGACAGGATCATCTGAGACTACTATGAACAATTACACCAACTATGCAGGTAACCTAGAGAAACAGAAAAATTCCCAGACACATACTATCTACCAAACAAACTCATGAAGAAACAAAACATCTAAACAGAGCAGTACGAGGAAGAACACTGAACCTCTCAACAGAAAAATCCAGGACTTCACTGGTGAAGACTTCACTGGTGAATTCTATGAAATATTTAATGCCAATCCTTCTCAAACCTTTCCAAACAACTAAAGAGAAAGAAATATAGCCACACAAATTTCACAAGGCCAGCATTACACTGATACTGAAAATGGGAAAAGATACTATAGCACAAGAAAATTACAGGACAATATCCCCGATGAATATAGTTGCAAAACCCCCCAAGAAAATAATAGTTAACCAAATTCTACAGCACAAAAGGATCATAAACCGTGACAAATTGGAATTTATTCCTGGCATGCAAAGATGGTCAACACATGCAAATTAATAAATGTAATACTCCAAATTAACAGAACAAAGAACAAAAATCACACAGTCATCTCAATAGAGGAAAATCACTTCACAGAATTCAACATCTTTTAGTGATAAAAACTGTCAACAGATTGGGGATCTATCATCATACACGATAAATGTACATTAACCTAATGAAGGCCACACAGGACAAGTCCACAGGCAGCATACTCAATGGTGAAGAGCAGGTAGCTTTTCCTTTAAGATCAAGAACAAGACAAGAACATCCACTTTCACTGACATAGTAGTAGAAGACCTAACCCGGTAAGCAGGCAAGAAAAAAGAAAAGGCATCTAAAAAGGAACAGAACAGAAAAAACAAAATTGTCTCCGCGAATGACAAAATCTCATACCTAGAAGGCCTTAAAAACTATACGAAAAACACAGAACATTGGACCCTCTTTTTGCACCATGGACAAAAACCAACTGCAACAGTGAAGACTTAAGCATCAGCCTGACTCTGTAAAATGCTAGAAGAAAATACACGGGAAGAGCTCTTTAACAGTGGTGTTAATAATGCGTTTTTGGATATAATATCAAAGCACAAATAAAAATTTGGGGTTGTAACAAACTAAAAAGCTCCAATTAAGTAAAAAAAAGAAATGAAATTATCAACAAAATGAAAATATAAACAGCATGAGAAAATATGTGCAAACCAAGTATCTCACAATCCAAGTATACATGGATCTCATACAACTGAACAGAAAATAAACTAATAATCCTACCTAGAGAGGGCAAAAGACCTGAACATTCCTCCAAAGGAGACATACAGGTGGCCAGTGGGTGTATGGAAAGGTACTCAAAATTACTAATTATCAGGAAAGATTAAGTCAAATCACAATGAGCCAGCACCTCACATTTGTTAGGGTGGCTATTATTTGAAAAAAGAAAAGATAAATACAGGCCAGGATGTGAAGGACAGGGAAGCATGGCTCTGTGGTAAAAGTCCACTGAATGAAAGAGTCCCCTGGGCTCCCATGGCAGTGAAAAGTAGTTCAGTATCATCCAATATAAGCTAAAACAGGGTGCTCAGAAATTGAAATTTACTAAGAGCTACTGCATGAAGGAGTGACTATCTAGCTGCTTCTCCATTGCAGCCCAACTGTGCCTGCTCTTAAATCCGGGAAAGTAAGAGATGCCTGCAGGTAGGGTAGTCCGGCTGTCCTGGTATGGTCCTGGTGATGAGGACCCCTTATCGGGGACCCTGGCCAATGTTAAAATTACTGACTGAGGGGCCTCCCTGCGGGTGCAGGGGGTTAAGTTTCAGCACTATGACACTATTGGCAGCCACTGCAGCACGAGTTCTATCCCTGGCCAGGGAGCTACCCACAGGGCACAGCAGACCCCTCCTGACTCCCCGCTGCTCCCCTCAGCAGTGTTTCAGTCAGTCTGCCTGTTCTGCTCCCCGTTCTGTCTCTGGTGAGCCCTCTTATGTCTCCTGTACCTCTGGCTTGCACCCCAGCTCTTGTATATAAATAAGTCTATAAAAAGATAAAATTGCTGACTCAAATCAGGACTTGGAACCCAAGTTTCCCTGGAAACGGGCACATTCATCGTGCAGGGAGAGGGCAACAAGGTGAGATGCATGAGGCTGACTGGAAGGTCCCAGAATCCAGAGCCTTCCCTACCCAGGAAACGTGCTAGCAGGACCCGTGGTCTGGCTGTGGGAACAGGAGGGCTGCCCGGGGAACAGGGCACGGAGGGCGGCCCCAGGGTGAGCGTGAGGCCTTACCCAGCGAGGTGAGGAGTGCGTGGTGCTCCAGCATCGCATCATGGTACAGGCGCCTCTGGGCCTCGTCCAGGAGCCCCCACTCCTCCTGCGAGAAGTCAATGGCCACGTCCTCGAAGGTCACGCAGCCCTGCCAGACAGGGACAGCCCACTCCACACTCAGCTGCTTTCCTTGCGCCCCCAGTGCCCCGCCCTGGTATTCAGGCCCGCTCAGCTGCCCCCTGTGTCCTCCCTGACTGAGACGTAGTGGTGGCCGCGCGGGCAGCACCGCGCAGCCGCGAGCAGGGACGGGCCTTGGAAACGCAGCACCGCTGGGCGCGCGGGGGCTGCGCAGCCCCCTCTTCCCACGCCCGCGGGACCCCGGCGCTCTCCAGCTGCAGCCTCGAGAGCACCTCTCGTCTGTGCCCCCACGTCCTGCTTCCCCCGTCCCTCCAGGAGCGACACCCGGCTTCTCCGGGCCGCGCCCCACGCCTGCTCCCACTTTTCCTTCCGCTCTCGTGACAAAGGGCGAGGAGCCGCGGGGCCCCGCGGGCCAGCACACCTGGCGCCCGCGTCCGGCGCGATCCTCGCTCTTCCCGGCCGGCTGCCGCGAAGGAGCCTCCCCGCACCACCTGGACCTCCCGCCCGCGGCGTGGGGCTCCGCAGGGGCCGCAGCTGGCGCGGGGAGAGGCTCCCGGGAAACGGCCCCCAATCAACGCGAGGGGCGGCGGCCTGAGGGCGGGGGGAGGACGCGCTCACCTGCGTGCAGCCCGGAGGCGGCAGCGCGGCCCGCGGGGGCTGAGCGGCCCCGGCGGTCACTGGAGGCGGCCCCGGGGCGACCGCGCCGCGCAGCCCCGGGCCGGAGGGAGAAGGGCGGCCCGACGGCCCGGGCTTCCCCCAGGTTGGCGCCCGCGCCCCCGCCGGGCCGGGCGCGATCGCGGAGGCGAGGCCCCCCCGGGGCCCCCCGTGCGGACCCCCGCGGGCGCCCCTTCTCCCCCCGCGGGCCGGTACCTCGGCCGCCGCCATCGCGCCGTGCGGGGCGCGGGCGGGCGGGGGTCCCGGGCGTCCGCACCGACGCCGGCGCCCTCAGCGCGGCAGCGGCGCGGCGGGGACGACGCCCCCGCGAGTCCCCGGTCGGGCCCCCGCGCCCTCGACAGTCGGCGCCGCCGTGACGGGGGCCGCCGGAAGTCCCGCCCCGCGCCGGCCGGAGCGGAAGCGCCGCCGCCAGAGGGCATTGTGGGTAACGTAGTTCCCGGCGGGGCGGCGGCGCCGGCTCCTCTGCGCCCTGGGGCGCGCGTGAGCTCAGCCTCCCCGAGCCCCGGCCGCCCCAAGCCCGGGACCCGCCGCCCCAAGTCCGGGACCGGCCGCCCCGGGGGGGGCCAGGTGGTGGCGTCGGGGCGACCCGCACCGGTGGGAGACGGGGCGCCTGGGTCCGCGGGTCCCCGCCGGCTGGGGGCTCCTCAGGCGACTCGGGACACCCCCGGGCCCGCCGAGCCGTCTCCGGTTCTGCCTGTCCGGTGAAAAGGGCAAGTCGGGCCCGGGGCCGGGGAGGCGCAGCCCAGGCCTCTCCGCAGCCCCTGCGCGCAGCTGCCCGCCGGCCCGTGACCCCCACAGGGCTGGTCCCTGCGGACCAAGGCGCCCGGAGTGGGGAGACTGGCCCCTCGTGAAGCGGGGGCCCCCTCCGCTGGCGCCCCTGAGCCCCAGTTCTTCTGAGGGTGACCCCAGCTCCGCCAGGGGCCGTTCTCCCCCCACCCGCTCGTCCACCACCGCCAGGGGTCTGGAAAGCCGCCCGGGGCGACCGAGACCCTCGCCTGGGCCTCCAGCCTGAGGGCCGGACCCGCGAACACCCCGGGGCCCCAGCTGAGAAATGCTTTGGGGGGAGCAGGACCCTCGGAGCCGCAGGGCCGGATGAGGAGCGCGCACTTCGCCGGGACGCCCGGTTACTCCGTGGTGAAGGCGTTCTGGGGGCTCTGCCGACCGCCGGCGCGTCCAGGGGTGTCTCCCGCCTCGCCGGATCCCCGTGGCCCCTCGGGGAAGCCCGTGCAGCCGCCAGCCGGCCCCAGCCCCTCCCTGCGCCTCCCCGCGGAGCCCCGGAAAGTGACGCCCCGCTTCCCGCCGGGAGGAGCCTGAGGCCGCTGGACCGCGTGGTCCGGCGGCGCCCCCGATCCCGCCGGCGTGACCGCCCCCACGGGCCCCGAAGGGGCTGCAGGACCAAGGGCAGACGTCGAGCGTGGTGCTCCCGCCCAGCCCCCGATACAAGATGCGTGTCCAGGCCGCGCAGTGACCCCCGCTGACCAGTGCGCCCGGCGAGGCCGCGCCCTCCGTCCTCCCGTGCGGACCACCCCGCAGGGACGGCGGGACCCGGACCAGACCCGTCGCGGCCCTTCTCTGGGCCCGGGGTCGCCTTTCCTCGGCGCCGCAGCCGGACACGGCGACCGCTCTGTCCCCAGGGGCGGGGGGGGGGTAGTTCACCAGAGATCCCCGGCCCGGGGTGTCTGCGGAAACGGGGCGCGCTGGCGGTGTCTGGGGACGAGGCGCGAGCGCGACCCCCTGCCTGGCCGGCAGCCCCGGGCCACAGCAGGAGCCCCCCCCCCACGGACCCGCAGCCTAGGCCGCCGGTGTCCGCCTGCGTCGCCCGTCCCGTCGCCTCGGTCCCCGCGGGGCGGGCTTTGTCCTGTGACATCATGAACCTCACAAAGCAGAGCCTGACGCTGCAGCCCGCGGGGAGCGGAGGGGAGCTGCTCGTGGGGCCCCAAGAATGGCGCCTTACGTGGGGGGGGACATCGGGGGCGGCAGAAACGACCCGTTTGGACCCTGTGGCCTGTGGGCTTCGAGAAGGCGAAATCCCGTTTCTAGCCCGTCTGTGAACAGCGCAGACTGTGTGCTCGGGAATGAGAGAAACGTCGGGGCAGGTGGGACGCCCGCCGCTCGGAGCACGGAGACGTGACAGCCCGTCCCGAACCGTCGGGTCGGGCCCTGCTCCGCCCCCGCCCCGCCCCGCCCCGCCCCCCGCCCCGCCCCGCCCCGCCCCGCCCCGCCCCGCCCCGCCCCGCGGGCTGCGCCGACGCCCTCGCGAGAACCACATTTCCCAGAGGGCGCAGCGCCCGGCAGCCGCCGAGCCAATGGGCGTCCGCGGCGTCTCCGCGCGTGCGCCCCGCGTCGGGCCGGGAGACGTCGTCCAGGCGGTCGTTTCGTTTGCGCCCGGCGCTGGAGTCCGATAGCGACGGCCGCGCCGAGGGCCCCGGCCGAGGTACAGACGGGGTCGGCGTCCCGGTTGAGGGGGGCGGGCGGGAACGTTCTGGGGGCGAGTCGCGCCCTGGGCGCCCCCTCGGAGTCCCCGCGGGGTGCGGAGCCCCAGTCCCGACTCCCTGTCTGGGGGCGTCCGTCGGGGGCAGGGGTCTCCGCGCTGGTCGTCGAGCTGCTGCCCTGCCCCGGCCGCGTGGCGGGTCGCGGCCTCGTGCGCCACGTTTCGGTTTTTAGTGTCTGTTTCCTTGAGCCCGCGGGGACGACCGCACTCGTGAGGCTCCATCATCAAGCCCCCCCCCCAAGCCCCTGCCTGAACCCCCGGGCCCACGGCCATCTTGTACCTGGCTTGTACCTAAGCTGGAAACGGTGGGTCTGGAAAAGGATCGTCCTCGGGTTCTGCGATACACGTTTGCTCGCAGCACCTTTCCCTGCTGTCTCCCCGCACCAGGTTCTTTTTAAAATTATTTAAACATTTATTTATGCACACAGGAGCTGGGGTACAGGCCAGATGTGCAGGTGAGAGGATTCACCAGAGACAGAGCGGGGAGCAGATCAGGCAGACAGACCGAAGACACTGCTGAGGGGAGCAGCGGGCCAGTCAGGAGAGGTCTGCGCGCCATGTGGGTAGCTCCCTGGCGGGGATGGAACTCAGGCTGCCTTGGCTGGTGATAGCTTGGTAGTGCTGACTTCACCTCTTGCACCACTAGGGACGCCCCCCCCCCCCAGTCCTTTCTGACACTGAGTCATCATCTTGCCAGATTCTTGCAAACTTGCCCTGATGCGGGGCAAAGCTTGCGAGCTTTAGGGCTCCAGGTCCCTTGGACTTGCATCTAGCATGACTCCCTGAAAGGAAGCGTGAACCAAGAACTTGTACTCCACTGTGAAGTCCTGAAACCACGGTACCCTTGCCTTAGTTTTCCTAGTGTTTACCCCTTTCTAATCTCTAGTTGGGGTGGAAAACCAACCAAACAAGAAAGCACAAATAAACTACCCACCATCCTTGACACCTTCTTATCTCATGACCCATCCCTCCCCCTCTTCAACCCTGGTAACCTCAGTTGTCAGTGTCCACTCATTTATTTTACTTCTTTATTTCCACTGATTTGTTTCCATATTGTTTTACTTCACCACCTCTGTGTTCTGATTCTACCACGAATGATGGCTTATTTTTCTCGCTAATTTTGCTTTTCTGGCTAATCCGTTGACCTTCCTTCCATTTTGCTGGAATTGGGAAAATTTTGTCGCACCCAAAGCTGGATAGTTTCTGTTCTGTGTATGTGCGGCGTGGCCTTTATCTGGTCCTCTGTCTCTGGGCACTGGCATTGCTTCTGTAGCTTAGTTGTTGTGCGTATGCCAGGGTAGACATTGTGGACCATCAAGCTGTTCGAGTGATGGTTTCATGTTCTTGGTCCAGACACCAAATGTGGAATGACTGAATCCTATGGTGTTTCTTCTTGTTAGTTTTTTAAAAAGGTGCAGATCGTGTTACCACATGGCGGTGCCACTTTTCGTTCTCACTCACAGTGGGTGAGGATTCCGCTTCTCCACATTCTCCTCAGCACGTTAGGAATCTTTTTCATGTGTGCCATTCTCACGGGCTTCCCGTGCTAGAGCATCATGGCTGTGGCTTGCAGTTGACTTGCATTTCTCTTACTGGAAGGGAAGAGGAGCGCCTCGTCGTGTATCTGGCCTCTCAGAAGAGCATGTGTTCACATCATCTGCCTTTTTTCAAAATTGCCTTACTAGGTTTTGTTGTTAAGTTGGCATCTTTGCATACGTTGGATATTGATACGTTGTTGGTTGTGCAGTGTGTGAACGTCTTCTGCCTGTACGGAACTGTGGCTTACTCTGTTTGATGGACTCACCAGGTTTTTGTTGTGATGCTAGTGTGTGTCTGCAGTTCGTCGGGCACGGTTAGTTGCAGGCAGAGGGATCCTGTGGGAGAGTCACTGTGAGTGCAGTGAATTGTCTCCGCGTCCTGTGGTCAGAGAGACCATGAGGGTTCTGGGCTGCCAGTGCTGGTGGGGCGCACTCGTGGTCTGGGGCAGTGCTGGGTCCTCTTTGGGTTTCCCAGGCACTCTCTACATGCATGTGTTGAGTAAAACAAAGAAGACCCGAGGTGCCAAGGTGCAGGGCAGGGGAGAGGTGGTGGACTTCACTGAAAGAGCAATGTCCGCATGGAGAGGGAAAGTGAGCTGGTAGCCTCTGGGACTCTGAGGCTGAGCCCCCATGTGGTTGTGTCCAGGAGGCAGGTGGGGGTGAGGGGCTTCCCTGCACATCAGGCCCCGACCCCTACCCTGGACTTGGGCTCTGCCACCTGCCTGTCGCTGCCAGCGGGACGCGTGGTCAGAGGCCCAGGGAGCGCGTGGCCTCAGGGACAGCAGGGCCTGCCGTGGAGGCCGCAGGTGGGGCGGGTGCGCAGTGGGGGCGTGGATCGGGTTCCTGGGCGAGGGGCGCGTGGAGCAATGCCCTGTCCCGTCGCGGCAGGGCGGCTGGCCTTGAGGACGTGGCCGTTTACTTCGCGCGGAGGCGCGGGGGCTCCTGGACGAGGCCCAGCGGCTCCTGTCCCATGACGTGATGCTGGAGACCTTCGCGGCTGTGGCGGCCCTGGGTGAGGCCCTCGTCGCCCCGCTGCCGTGTGCCTCCCCGGCCCGCAGGCGGCACCGCCCTCCCGCAGAGCCGTGCGCCCCTGGGGCGACCCCGGGATAGGCGGGCTGTGGGGTCTGGGCTCCGCGTCCTGCAGTCAGGCTCACGGGTCTCACCATTGCCGCCCTCGCCCAGCCTGGGGGCCCGGCCTGGCTGCCCCGCGGACCCCGCCCCATCCCACGGCCCCTGCCCCGGCTCCAGCGGGGAAGGCTGCGCGCGGTCGCGGTGGCCGCAGGTGGCTCAGCCGCGGCCCTTCCCGGCTCCCTCCCTGTGGCCGCCCCGTGAGGTCCAGCGCCTCCTGCGAGCCCCGGGCCGGGTGAGCGTCCCCGGCCGGTCTGTGTCCGGGCGGCGCCCCCCTGCGGGGGACCCGCCGGCTCTCCAGGACCTCGGCCCCGCCCTCCCGGCCTCTCCGCCTGGGGCGCTGCGTGGAGGCGCGGGGAGCGCGGCCTGGACCCCGGCGCCCGGCGCCCGGCGCCCGCCCGGAGACTCGCCGCGTGAGAAGCGCGTCCCGACCTTCTTGGGGGCCGCTTCGCCCGGACCGCGCTCCGGGCCCCTCGCCTGCGCGGACACCGGGCCCGCCGGGACGGGCCGAGGCGGGGCGCTTTCCCTTCTCCCTTTCCCGAGATGCGCCGAACTGCACTGCTCGGTTGAGGGGTGTCTTGAGGGGTGTCGGCGTCCTCCCCTTGGCTCCTCCAGGGAGGTCCGGGGAGGCGCGGCGGTGGGTGCCCGGGAAGCTGCAGGGAGCAGACGCCCCGGATCAGGCGAGGGACAGGAACCCCCGAGAGGGCGCCTCTTTGGCCAGCGCCAAGTGCTGGCCCGGGACGCCCCGGTCAGGGCTGCGCGCTCCCTGCTCTCACCTCGCTGGCTGCCGCCTGATTGTGTCAAGGGAGCGCGTCTCCTCTGCACTCTTGTTTGTGTGGTTTTTTTTTTTTAAGATTTATTTATGGGGCCTCCCCGGTGGCGCAGCGGTGGAGCGCTGGGTTGCGAAGCTGCCCGCAGCCTCTGCAGCGCCGGTTCGATCCCCGGCTGCTCCCCGGCCACCGGAGGAGGGTCCCCCATGGCGCGCAGACCTCTCCTGCCGCCCGCTGCTCCCCTCAGCAGTGTCCTTCGGTCCTTCTGCCTGCTCTGCTCCCCGCTCTGGCTCTGGTGGATTCTCTCGCCCTCCCGCGCTTCTGACTGTGCCCAGTGCTTGTGTAAATAAATAAATCAATCTTTTTTTTAAAAAAAGATTGATTTATTTATACAAGAGCTGGGATACAGGCCAGAGGCACGGGAAGGTGAGAGGACTCCCCAGAGACAGAGCAGGGAGCAGAACAGGCGGACCCACTGGGATCCACTGCCGAGGGGAGCAGCGGGGAGACAGGAGAGGTCTGCTGCGCCCTGTGGGAATCTCCCTGGCCGGCCGGGATGGAACCCGCGCTGCAGAGGCTGCACAGCTTCATAGCGCTGGCTCAACCGCTGCACCACCAGGGAGGCCCTCGACTTCACATTTTCCTGCCAAGGCGTGCGTGCTGACTGACCTCTGGTGCTGGTTGTGTTCTTCTTTGTCGAGGGTGTCTCTCAGGTACAGCTGATTTAGATTTTAGGTCAGTACTTTTGTTTGTGCCATTGGTATCAGCAGTACAAGGTTATTTCTTGTGCTGATGACGATTCCATGTTTGTAACAGGAGCTGCAGACAAGAGAGGAACTGGAGATGCTGTTTCTTGCTTCGGCCACCGTATGGGTTGTCTTGAGTTCCTAAACCGAACGTTAAGAACCAGTGAGAAGTGTCCTGGGCCTTTCCTGGGGCCAACCAAGGGGAGGCTCTAACGGCAGGTCTGAGAAGGTGTCTTTTCAGACATCAGAGCAGAAAAGCTGTGTCCGACTCAGGACTATGGGAAATCCCTGAGACTCACAGCTCCTGCCTCCCGGAGCCCAGAGGTCCACACAGGAGCAAGTCGTGTGAGTGCAAGCAAGTGGGGAGCCCTTTTCCCAGATCTCAGGCTCCCCTCAACGTCGGAGTGCATGCACGCAGCGAACCAGACAATTGTTTCAGTCCCAGAGTCCCCCCATTGGGCACAGAGAAGTTCACAGCGGGAACAGGCCTTTGTGCCGTGACTGTCACGGGGGGGGGGCCTCTTCGGGGCCATTTTCCTGAGTGGCATCTGTACCTCTGCCTGGACAGCCCATCTAACTCTCCTTGGGGGAAGGTGTATGAAAGGTTCGGCGCGGTAAAGGAGAGGAGAGCCAGGCTACATTTCTCAAAGGGAGGGAAAGTTTATTGCGCCCCGGGCGGACCTCACAGACCCAAGGCGGGGGTCCGTGGAGTCGCGCAGGTTGTTAGGGGGAAGCAGGGTTTTATAGGGCGAGGAGAGGTCGGGTGGGTAGTTGGGGCTCGTAGCTGAGTGGTCCTGATCTGCTTAACGAGCCCGGCGTGGGGCCTGTTCCCTGGGGCCTGGCTGGGCCAGACTCCCGTTCCCTCACGAGAGGGGCCTGCGAGGCAGGCGAGGCCGCGTCTCCAGGGTGTGGAGCTGGCGTGGGCCTGTCTGCAGCACCTTCTGGTGAGTCAGCTGATTGCGTGGGGCGCTCTCTTCTCTGAGCGAGTCATTCTTGGACTGCACAGCGGTTTCGGGGTCTCCTGCGTGCATGTCACAGCTCCCACGGGAGCATGTTTGTCCCCGGATGCGGGGCACGTTGGTGGTGGGGGAGCCCTGGGGGGGCTTCCTACTCGGCCATCTTGCTGATGTCAGCGTCTGCCTTACGTTGTTGGGTGTTGCCGTCCCTGAAAGACTTCCGTTTACTTGGTACACGCTCCATCGCACACAATCTACGCGTAGATTCACAGAAAATCTCTGGCGTCTGTGAAGGTCTTGGCAGGGCGGGCCTCAGCTCCTGCGCGAGGTCCTCCGGGCCGGGCTGAGTGTACCCGGTGGGCTTTCCACACGCTTTCCTCGCGGTCGGCCCTGGCTCTGGACAGCCCGGGACTCACAGGGCGGCCTCCGCACCCGACCAGACCTCTCCCGCCGCCCGCCCGCTGCCCCCTCAGCAGTGTCCTCGGTCCCCCTGCCTGCTCTGCGCCCCGCTCTGGCTCTGGGGGATCCTCTCCCCCTCCCGCGCTTCTGACTGTACCCCGTGCTTGTAGAAACAAATAAATAAATAAATCTTAAAAAAAAAATGGACTAGGCAGGAGGCCCGCCGGTCCGCCTCCATTGCTGCGTCTTACAGGCGTCACCGGCCCGGACCCCAGGCGCGCCCTTCCGCGGGGAGGCTGGGGACCCCGCTCCAGGCGCCGCCTGCTGCCCCGCCCTCGCCAGGGCCGAGGACGCGGGAACTACATTTCCCAGAGGGCGCAGCGACCGAGCGTGGGGGTTGAGCCAATGAGCGCGGGGCGGCTCCGCGCGTGCGCAGCGCGTCGGGCGGGACTTCCGGCGTCATCCGCTTGGCGGTCATTTTGGCTTCTTGCTCGCGCTGGAAACGGGCGGCCCGGGCGTGGGTCGGGGCCGGCGGCCGGGCCCAGCGGGTCGGGGGCGGCGCGTCACGCGCGGAGGCAGCCGAGGGGTGGCCACGCCGCCGGGGTCCCCACCCGCCCGGCTCCGCACGGTCCGATGGCGGCGGCCGCGCCGAAGGCCCCGGCTGAGGTACAGGCGCGCCCGCCCCCGCGCCGCGGCGCCCGGGGGGTCCCGAGCCAGACCCCGGGAGGGGGCGGGGGCCTCTGGGGTCTCCCCTGCGCGGTCGCACCTCACCCCCTCCGGCCCGGCCGCGCGTGAGGGTGCGGGGAGCGGCCGCGAGGCGCGGGGGCTGAGAGGGTGGCGGGGCGCGCGCCGGCCGCGCAGGGGACGCCGAGGCGGGCGCCGGGGTCGGGCGCCCACGCGGTGGCCGCGAGCTGCGTCCCGAGGGGGAGCGCGGGCCTCGGCGCGGCCGGGGAGGGGCGCCGGGGGAGCCGCGGGCGCCTCCAGCGGCGGGGGAGGGGCGGGCGAGGTGAAGAGGGAGACGGCGTGAACGCCGCGCCTGGGCGCCCGGGGTGTGGGGACCCCGGGGTGTGGGTGCGGGGCCAGGTGCTGCCGGCTCTGCGGGGCCCTCCAGCGGCCACAGGCCCTCAGGGAGGACGCGGTGACCTAACATGCGGGGGGGGGGCGGGGGGGGTCGGGGTTGGGCTTTGGGTGCAGGGATCCTGGCTGGTGGCCAGAGGGCTGCGTCCTGCGGGCCTCCGGGTGAACGTGTCCCTCCCGTGGGGGCGCGAGGGAGGATCCTGGGAGAAACGCCTGCCTGTCAGGGCACTCGCTGCAGCCAAGCCCGTATCTCAGACACGGCTCTGCCCGCCTGCCTTGGGGCTGACGCCGCCCGGGCAGCTCCCCTGAGGCGGAGAGCCCGCGTGGGTGAGGCGGTGGACGTGAATCCTGGGAGAGCAGCTCGTTGAGCACTGACCTGTTCCCTCGTGGCAGGGCGCTGTGACGTTTGAGGACGTGGCGGTTTACTTCTCCGAGGAGGAGTGGGAGCTCCTGGACGAGGCTCAGCGGCGGCTCTACCACCACGTGATGCTGGAGAACTTTGTGGCTGCGGCCTCCCTGGGTGAGGCCCTCCTCGCCCTCGCTGGTCTTGGACCTGACCCCTCTGTCCAGAGATGACGCTCTGCTTTCACACTCTGCCCTTGGGCTTGTCTGAGTTCCCCGCACCCTGGCATGTGTGCTGTGGTTATTCATACTCAGGGGTGTTCACGCCCCAGCCGCTCCCCCCTGCAGCAGTCCCAGACCTGCATCCATGCCACAGGCAGGAAGGGCCTGGCGCTCCCCACTCGCAGTTGCTCCTTGGCCGCAGCCCGGCAGGTGGCATTGTGTGGATCCAGACCGTGGCTCTGGTGCTCTGGTTCTGTTTCATCTTTTACCAAACGGAGCCTGTCACGATCTGTGTCAGGAATTGCTGGCACTTTTGCGGCAACTCCTGATCTGGCCCATAGGCTTTTGAAATGCCCTCTTTTGGATTTTGTTGTAATACATTTTCTCTCTGCTGATCTTTGTTTTCTGACTGTGGCGCTGCCTGTTCACGCATCCTATATTTACCTAAAAATCTCTTTCACTCAAGTCCCTGACAGTTCCACATCTGACATGTGGGGAGACTCTTCATTTTTTTGAAGTTTTTTGAAGATTTACTTATGCATACAAAAAAGGGAGTATAGGCCTCTGGAGACATTGGTCTTCACAGCATGGATGGGCTCCCACTTGGTGAGAGCCCGCTGGAGACTGTTAGCAGAGTATTGGGTCGTTTGTCTGTCTCTCTGCTGTCACCCTGTACCTCTGCCCTGCTCTGTGATCCTCAGACGCCCTGGTGTGAAAGTAGCTCGTCGTCTTTGCCAGATTACTGCTAGCTCCCTAATCCTGGGAATGTTTCCTCGGGTTTCTCCTTTGGTTTGAATGTATGTTTTTGACACACATACTTTATGGTACTTCCTTTCCACCACAGGTAACCGCACTTAATCAGCATTTCTCTACTTTCAGATTGTTGCTGTGGAGCACGGGATGAGGATGCACCTTCCCAGCAGAGTACCTCAGCAGGAGGGTCACAGGTCAAGACGTCTACACCAGGATTATCCATCCTGAAAACTGAACCTTGTAAGCAGTGTGTCCTAATCCTGAAGGGTATTTTGCCCTTGACCGAGTTCCAGCCCACATATCCTGGGAAGCAGCCATATTTAAGTTGGGTGTCCAGAGATTTCTGGTTCACTACAACCCTTCACCAGCATCAGCAGTCTGACAGTGGGGAGGAAATCTTCAGAATGGACATGGGCACTTTTGCATTTGTCATGAGCCACAGATTCCAGGAGGTAGGGAAGCCCTTCACCTGTGGGGTGGGTGGGAAGGACTTTGCAGCTACCTCAGGTCTTCTCCAGTGCCAGGCTGTTCCCAATAGTGAGAGACCAGATAGCAGCATCGAGTGTGCAGAGCCTTTAAAAAATAATGTAAAAAGTCACGAGGAATGGATTGAATGCAGGGAAGAGGTCAGCAACACAGACTCTTGCTATCCAAGAGTCTGTGCTGGAGAAGGTCCTGACACGCAGAGACAGTGTAAGAAAATCTTCAGCAGTGAACACAGACTCGCTCAGCACCAACTCACTGACACTGAAGAAAAGCCTTTTAAGTGTGGTAAATGTGGCAAATTCTTTAGCCGCAAAGCCCACCTTGTTCGACATTGGAGCGTTCACACTGGAACAAAGCCTTACGAGTGCATTGAGTGTAGAAGGTCTTTCATCCAGAAATCTGACCTCGTTCTACACCAACGAGTACACACTGGAGAAAGGCCTTATGAGTGTAGGGAATGTGGGAAATGTTTTAAGAGAAGCTCTGGTTTCCAAATTCATCTGAGAATTCACACTGGAGAAAGGCCTTATGAGTGCAGGGAATGCGGCAAGTCCTTCAACAGTGGCTCTAGCTTGCACGTTCATCAGAGAGTTCACACTGGGGAGAGGCCTTACGAGTGCAGCACGTGTGGCAAATCCTTTAAGCAGAAGTCTATCCTCACTGATCACCAAAGAGTTCACACTGGAGAGCGGCCGTATGAGTGCAGTCAATGTGGCAAATGTTTTAACAGTAGCTCTGGCCTCTATGCTCATCAGAGAGTCCACACTGGGGAAAGACCTTACGATTGCGGTGAGTGTGGCAAATTGTTTGCCAGGACCTCCAGCCTCCTTGTTCACCAGAGAGTCCACACTGGGGAGAGGCCTTACGAGTGCAATGAATGTGGGAAGGCCTTTAGACAGAAAGCTATCCTCGTTGATCACCAGAGAGTTCACACTGGGGAACGGCCATATGAGTGTAGCAAATGCGGGAAGTCCTTCATCTGCAAATCCCACCTCAATCGACACTGCAGAATTCACACTAGAGTAAGGCCTAACAAGCGCATTGATCACGGGAATTCTTTTAGTGAGAAATCTGTCCTCACTCAACGCAGCCGCTCGCATTGGAGAAAGAACTTATGAACACGTTGAGCATGGGCATTTTTTCACAGCGGCTCTGTCCTTTATCAGAACTTTTTTTTTTTTTTTTTTTTTTTTTTTTAAGATTTCTTTATGTATGCATACAAGAGCTGGGGTACAGGCCAGAGATGCAGGGGGTGAAAGGACTCCCCAGAGACAGAGTGGGGAACAGAACAGGCAGACTGACCGAAATACACTGCTGAGGGGAGCAGTGGTCGAGACAGGAGAGGTCTGCTGCGCCATGTGGGTTGCTTCCTGGCTGGCCGGGGATCAAACTCGTGCTGCAGAGGCTGCCATTGCTTCATAGTGTGGTGCTTAACCCCTTGCGCCACCAGGGAGGCCCTCAGAACATTTTTTTATAAGCACTTTGAATGTGGGGAATGAATATGTGCTCTCGTTAAGCACCAATGAGCATATCCAGAGTGGGGATTTCTCTGGCCAGAAACCTGATCCCATTAAACGCAACAGCTCACTGTGGATAGAGGCCACGCTTGTGGGGACCTTTATCAGCACCAGAGAATGCACACTACAGTCAGGTGCTATTACTGTTCCTGATGTGGGAAATCTGTTAGCCAAAGGTCCAGGTTCACTCAGCAGCAGAAAGTCCACACTGGAGGCAGGGCGACCAGTGTAGCCACTGGGGGAATCACTTTCAGCCTTGGCCACCTTCACTGCGAAAGCTCGCCTGCAGAACGTCACCTTGCTCACCGTGAATAGTTGACATTAGAAAGGGCCTCAGATAACATGCTGTGTTTTTGCTGACGGTACCACACAGGGTTGGGGTAATTTCCCTGTTAAGAGTCCGGAGCAGGCATCGCCCTAATGACAAACATCTGTCTGGACAGCCAATGACTAAGCATTCCGTTGACTTCCTGGCACTGGGGGAGTACATGTAAGCTGCCCAGGGGCCTTGCCACTGTGTCCGGGAGAAGCCATTTCTACTCTCGCCCCCCCAGGTGCACCTGGTGAGCCTGTCACTACCCCAGGGTAAGCCTGCCCGTCCCGCCCCCACCACCACCATTTGTTAGCATCTTGGTGAGTTTCCTGAACCCGTGTGGCACCTTCATCTCCTAATGTGATGCATTAGCACCTGAAGCTAGACCTGTGGTGGCCCAGTAAGACTAGCATTTCAGGGGTGTGATCGTTCCAGGTTGCACTTGTGATGACATTTTCCACCTTCCGGGCACCAAACAAGGCATTGGCTGTCCCACCTCGGTCTGGTTTCTGAAAGATCAGAGCTTTTTGTTGAAGCTGCTTTAATCTTGGAACAGTTCACTTTGCTGGGGAGTTTGAAAGCGCAGTAGTACTTTGCTGATTTGCAGGATAGACAGTTTTGTGACGATCCAAACTTTGGGTGCTTGAGGGGACAGTTTGATGGCCTTTATAGCGCTCTGCAGCTTTGTCCTACTTTATGTTGCCACCATGGCCGCCTGTGAAAGACTGTCTTCTGCTACTGAAGTTCCACGGAGGCGTCAGAGCCTGTGGGATCAGAGGTCACCCTGAAGGATGCGCGTTTGTGACAAGTCCCAGTGATTCTAGGGGAAACAACTGTCATTTGCAGGGATGTCACCTAACGCCGTGTGCAGCTGAGGGCCTTGAGCTACAAAGGAACTGTGCACCCTGAGAACAAGTATTCAGCAGGAGGGAGTCACTGGTACAGACACGAGGGCAGAGGATATGGTCACGGGTGCAGGAACCTTGCACACACAGGGTGGAACAGACTGCAGCAGCCTCGTGGAACCTGCTGCTTCTAAGGCGGCATCTGCACGGGCCCCAGTGACAGGAATCAGCCCCTCCAGGTGGGTTTCTCACAGCAGAGGTCTTGGAAGACAAGGGATTTTTGGAGTCCCACTGCCTCTGAGCTGTTCGTGTCCGGGCCATTGTGCTACAGGCAACAAGAAAGGGACTGAGAAGGCAGACCCTCCCCTGCAGGTGTGTGGCTGTTGTCCCCAGTCCGTGGTCCTGTCCTCGTGCAAATCGCCTTTAGTGCTTGCCTGGACTTCCTGCCACTGGGGGGGTGCCGTCCATGCCTGCGGAGAGGGTGGTGGAGGCAGCGCACATGCACCAGCCAGAGAGTGCGCAGCATTGGAGTTTGCAGTTCCTCTTGAGTCATTTTCATCAAACTATTTAAGTATAGCGGGCGTGGGTATTGCAAGTGCACAGTTGTGAGGCTTTGATGTCCGTGTGAACTCTGTTCACAGAGTGAGCGTGCCTGTCACGGGCATGTTCTCCCAGCCCTCTTCGTCATTTCTCCCTGGGTTTCCAGAGAACCTGTAATTTACATTTCTTGACAGTTGGGTGCATTTTCTTGAATTTTAGGAGGGCCCAGGAATGTTGATTCCCACCCCCACCCCCATGTCAATACAGTGGGTGCTTTCAAGACTCCTAAGTGGAATCATTTGTCTCCTTTCCTCTGTACTTGGCCCTGATTTCTTCTTGTCTTCCCTCCTGTCATCATCTGAGCCTCTGCTCTGGGCTGCCATTTATCTCCTTTCCTCTCTCCTCGGGTCCGGTTCCGTGTCCTCCGTATTCCGTCCTGTGAGCCCTGCGTGAATCGTCTTGTCACGGTGTCCTCGGCCTTCTGTCCTGCCTCTGTCATTAGCTCGTCGCCTGCTCACCTGCAGTCTGGGACAGCTGGGCTTCCAGTGTCCCTGGTCCCTGCCGTCAGCGCACTGAGTCCTCCCCAGGGGTCACTCCGGGGTCCTCTCCTCAGGCTGTTACTGTTTCCCTGAACCCCATCCTGTGCTCCTTTGGTACAAAAACAGTGGCAGGTTTTGCTCTCCTGTCCTCGCTGTTGTTATAAGCCCAAAATGCCAAGTCCACTACCTGGGACGGACTCGTCTCTGCGGCACCGTCCACCTTTGTTAGCTTTCGCCTTACGTCCTGGGGCACTGCGCGTCATGAATGCCATAGTGATCAGATGAGTGTTCTGTGGGGCATCTGGATTTGTGTCTGTGTGGTTGGTGTATTTCTGGATAATTCTTTCAAGGAACTCTGATGGATCCTCATTAGCTCCCTGTTCGAGCTGTAAGATTTTTTTTTCCCTTATATTTTTTATTCATTTTTTTGCATTATTGTTCATTTTTAAATAATATTTGCTTCCCCCCACCCCCTCAGGTGTAGTCCCTATAGAATTTCCTTCCCAAATGTTCCCGTGCTCCATCACCTCAGTCCCCTGTGCTCCTCTCTCCCTCTCTCCCACCCCTCTCCCTCCTCCTCCCCTGCGGGATGTCTCTGATTCCTAATTGTCTGTTTTTGCTCGGTTGTGTTTTGTATCTGTAGCGCCAGGAAGGCACGGAGCAGGTTTTCTCTGGTTCGGCAGACAGGTAAAGGAGAGTCCTGGAGTCCTCAGCTTTCGCAGGCTTCTGTTGAGCTTTTGCATGTAGTTCGGCAGCCAGGTACACAGCAGGCAGGGGTTCCGGGGGGCCAGGAGGCCATTCGGTCTCCAAGCCCTGGGCAAGTCTTTACTCTGGGCTTCTTGGCCTTCTCTCTCTCCTTCTCCTGTCTCTGCCTCTCTTGCCCCATATCTCATTGCTGCTGCTGTGGCCCTCAGAAGTCAACAGCATAACACAACAATGTGACAATGCAGGTGCCCATCAGGCAGGCAATCCTAATAGTGGGAGGGCAGAAGAGCCTGGAAATAACTTACATACGGTATTACACTGATGTCTTACTTGGTTGCCCTATATTCCTGCTACAGGAGAAACAGTTACGGGGCAGCCCCGCTCTAAAATGGATTGCCTGACTGTGGGTCCTCACCCGCGCACTTAAAAGGGACTTACGCTGCAGGCATATGCAAAAAATTAACAAAGGTTTATTTACAAGGGAAGGGGAAATGAGGAAATGTACAGTTCAGGGAGATAAAGTCTTAAATGCGTTCTACCTGTTCCTCCGACCTGGAATCCCAAGTGACTCGCCGAGACCAAACCTGCCTGGCAAAGAGCAGAGCCAAGTGCCCGAGACCCCACTCACATGGCTGATTTTATTTACAAATTGAGGAAATGGCTGTTTAACTCCACCCTTAGGGTCCTTGCAACTTCCCTTTGGGGATTTGTAGTTCCCAGTGTCTTGATGGAGTGGGGGTGGCATCCACAAAGCCTATATGGAGTTTGCTCTGGCAGAGGCTGCTCAGTCAGGTCCGCTCGGCTGCCATACACTGTGTCAATAGTTTCTAAACAGTTATGGATTAAAGTGGCATCCTCAGGTCCGTCTGCATTGCTTGGAAGCAGTGTCGCAGGATTTGCGGAATTGGAAACCTGCAGTTTCACATTAGGATTGACCAACAGAGCTGCTTGATATTTTCCCATTCACCCAGCGGTCAACCAGTCCACCCTTCTGCTCCAGCAATGCCAAGATCTGATGCGGCACCCACGCAGCGATGGGCTGACCCAAGGTTGACTTGTGTCCATCGTGTAGGAGGTCACAAGTGGTGTGGTCCAGTTGTTTGGACAGATGCGCAGTGGGCTGCATTTCTGATCCCAACAATTGGATTAGCACTCCCAGGACAACCCCCTCTCATGTACATGAAGTCTGAATGGCGATGCTGAGATCAACTTTTATTTCATCAAAGGCTTTGGACATTCTGGAGTCCGAGACAATGGTTCAGAGTCCAGGCCTTTGAGAGCATCATATAAGGGTCTTGGTATTAGTCCAGAGTTAGGAATCCAAATCCTGCAAAACCCAGCCATACCCAAAAATCCACGCAACTGTCACCGGTTGCTGAGGACTTCAGGGGCTGAAATTACCTGATTTCTTTCCGTCATCAGGCTCAGTTTGTCTTTCTTAATTTCATACCCCAAATGTGTCACCGTTTTCTTTATATATAATCTGTGCCTTTTGAGGTGACACCTTGTAG